TACAAAATGGTTTTGTTTTCAGTGGCTTTATGCTCAGTTTACCCTGAATTCTGTGTGCCAGGGGATGGAATCCTATGGAAATCCTGCAGATGGGAACATGGGGAGGGATCATGGTGAATATCCCAGAGATTTGATGGAGCTGGGTTTGTCTCTGCACACTTTTCCTGCAGGCACAACAATTACAAAATGGTTTTGTTTTCAGTGGCTTTATGCTGTGTTTTGTGAGGCAGGGGACAAAATCCTAAAGAAATTATGCAGATGGGAACATGGGGAGGGATCATGGTGAATATCCCAGAGATCTGATGGATCTGATGACAATTTTCCTGCAGGCACAACGATTACAAAGTGGTTTTGTTTTCAGTGGCTTTATGCTGTGTTTTGTGTGCCAGGGGGTGGAATCCTAAGGAAATCCTGCAGATGGGAACATGGGGAGGTAATATGGTGAATATCCCAAAGATCTGATGGATCTGATGGCAATTTTCCTGCAGGCACAACAATTACAAAATGGTTTTGTTTTCAGTGGCTTTATGCTCAGTTTACCCTGAATTCTGTGTGCAAGGGGATGGAATCCTATGGAAATCCTGCAGATGGGAACATGGGGAGGGATCATGGTGAATATCCCAAAGATCTGATGGAGCTGGGTTTCTCTGCACACTTTTCCTGCAGGCACAATGATTACAAAATGGTTTTGTTTTCAGTGGCTTTATGCTCAGTTTACCCTGAATTCTGTGTGCCAGGGGGTGGAATCCTAAGGAAATCCTGCAGATAGGAACATGGGGAGGGATCATGGTGAATATCCCAGAGATGTGATGGATCTGATGACACTTTTCCTGCAGGCACAACAAAGTGGTTTTGTTTTCAGTGGCTCTATGCTGTGTTTTGTGTGCCAGGGGACAAAATCCTAAAGAAATCCTGCAGATGGGAACATGGGGAGGGAATATGGTGAATATCCCAGAGATCTGATGGATCTGATGGCGCTTTTCCTGCAGGCACAACGATTACAAAATGGTTTTGTTTTCAGTGGCTTTATGCTGTGTTTTGTGTGCCAGGGTGTGGAATCCTAAGGAAATCCTGCAGGTGGGATCTTGAGGAGGGAACATGGTGAATCAGAGATTTGATGGATCTGATGACACTTTTCCTGCAGGCACAACAATTACAAAATGGTTTTGTTTTCAGTGGCTTTATGTTGTGTTTTGTGTGGCAGGGGATGGAATCCTAAGGAAATTATACAGATGGGAACATGGGGAGGGATCATCGTGAATATCCCAAAGATCTGATGGAGCTGGGTTTGTCTCTGCACAATTTTCCTGCAGGCACAATGATTACAAAATGGTTTTGTTTTCAGTGGCTTTATGCTCAGTTTACCCTGAATTCTGTGTGCCAGGGGATGGAATCCTATGGAAATCCTGCAGATGGGANAAAATCCTGGGTTTCCGGGCAGAAAATTGTGATTTTTCAAGTGTAGGAAATCCTGGTTTTCCTGGGCAGAGAATTCTGGTTTCCCTGACAAAAAAATCCTGGGTTTCCAGGCCAGAAAATCCTGGTTTTCATGAGCAGAAAATCCTGGGTTTCCAGGGCAGAAAATCTTGCTTTTTCTAGGCCAGAAATTCCTGGGTTTCCAGGCCAGAAAATCCTGGGTTTCCTGGGCAAGAAATCCTGGGTTTCCAGGTCAAAGAATCCTGGGCTTCCAGGCAAGAAAATCCTAATTTTCCAGGGCAAAGAATCCAGGTTTTCCAGGTCAGAAATTCCTGGTTTTCCTGGGCAGAAAATCCTGGGTTTCCTGGCCATTAAATCCTGGTTTTCCATGCCAGAAAATCCTGGTTTTCCGGGCAGAAAATTGTGATTTTTCAAGTGTAGGAAATCCTGGTTTTCCTGGGCAGAGAATTCTGGTTTCCCTGACAAAAAAATCCTGGTTTTCCTGGGCAGAAAATCCTGGGTTTCCAGGGTAGAGAATCCTGGGTTTCCAGGTCAAAGAATCCTGGGCTTCCAGGCAAGAAAATCCTAATTTTCCAGGGCAGAGAATCCAGGTTTTCCAGGCCAGAAATTCCTGGTTTTCCTGGCCATTAAATCCTGGTTTTCCACGACAGAAAATCCTGGTTTACTAGGATAGAAAATCCTGGTTTATCAGAGAAGAAAATCCTGGGTTTCCTGGGCAGAAAATCCTGGGTTTTCCTGGGCAGAAAATCCTGGTTTTCTAGGCTAGAAAATCCTGGGTTTCCAGGGCAGAAAATCGTGGGTTTTCTGGACTGAAAGTTGTGGTTATTCAAGGGCAGAAAATCCTGGGTTTCCAGGGGAAAAAAAAATTGTTTTCCTGGGCAGAAAATCTTAGGTTTCCAGGCCAGGAAATCTAGGTTTTCCAGGACAGAAAATCCTGGTTTTCCTGGGCAGAAAATCCTGGGTTTCCAGGTCAGAGAATCCTAGGCTTCCAGGCAAGAAAATCCTAATTTTCCAGGGCAAAGAATCCAGGTTTTCCAGGCCAGAAATTCCTGGTTTTCCTGGGCAGAAAATCCTGGGTTTCCTGGCAAGAAAATCCTAATTTTCCAGGACAGAAACCCCAGGTTTCCCTGGGCAGAAAATCCTCATTTCCCTGGCCAGGAAATTCTGGGTTTCCATGCCAGAAAATCCTGTTTTTCTAGGGTACAAAATCTTAGGTTTCCTGGCCAGAAAATCCTGGTTTTCTAGGCTAGAAAATCCTGGTTTCCAAGGCATAAAATCCCGTTTTTCCAGGGCAGAAAATCCTTGTTTTTTCCATATTTCTGTGTGTGTACATCCTGGAGGAGCTCCCCTCTC